ACAGGGACAGGAATGGGGACTGTCACAAAGGTTTCATCTACACGGCAAACAGAACCAGCATAAGAAATCCACACCGAATAAATGAAAAGTACCAAATCAAGGCCTTTGTATTTTTGTCAGAATATATTTGATTACAATCTACCTCCTGAATGGCTTCCGGTGCTGATAAAATGACTATTTTTCTTAATGCTTTCCAACTTTCACCTTAGCAAGGAGCCGCATCCCCCAGGTTTAAGTTGAGTAGGACATTTTGAGAATTCTTGCATGTGATGTTTCAGGTGTTCACTGAAATCTTCTAATTGAAATTTTTCTTTTTAAAGAGCCAGGCATAACACACAGTGGCCTGCAGTGAATTTGTAAGTAACTAGCCTCCCCTATATTTTTCCCTCACACCACCACCAAGTTGGGGCTTATCCAATAAATATCTGCTCAGCCACTTTTCTGACTTGAAATCCAGGGCTTTATTCTTACTCCTGTTTATCCAATTTAATCTAGTTGGGTTTGGCCTGGCATTAGTTCTGACTGGACCAGACGCATCTAGTCCCTCAGAGAAGTCACTTCTCAATACTAATTGCCTTTTGGACTAACTCATTCTGAATTGAGAAATAGTTTAAGAAATGAAAAAACAATGCAGGCTTTTCCAGTCTACTAAAAAAACAAATTATTTTTGTCTGTTGGAAGAGATGGAAGAATGAGTTAGATGCTGAGCCTATTTTAAGTTTCTCATACTAATCTGGTCAAGTTTGTCTTTTTAAAAGCCAACGCAATTTCTCACATAAGACTAAGGGAATTTAATACTTAAAGATATAGTTGTTAAAATAATAATGCACATTATTGAATAATCCCTAAAATATTAAGTATTTACTACAAGACACAAAATGTGCTCACCTTTTTAATGCATTACCTCAGATACTCATCACATCCATCCTGTGAGGGACCCAATGTTATCATACATATTTTACCAATGAGAAAACAAAGCCTTAGAGAAGTTACGCAACGACTTGACAATATGCAAAGTTTTGTTGGTTTTAATTAAGAAAAATGCTTCCAACATCTTTGTGATCATTTAATAAAATAAGGGGTAAATAACCTCCATATTTAAACTGGAATTGGAGAAGACTATTTTCTGGTGACTTCACAAGCATCTGCTTCAAGTAATGTTTCCTGATTTTATTACATTATCACAATTATGGCCACTGCAAAAGTCGAACAATGTATTAAAATGAATAATTTCTTAAAAATGCCCGAGACTTAAACAGATAACTAGTATTCTGATTACTATGCATTAGGATAATCTAAAATAAAGATACCCCTTTAGTAAGAAAATTACAAGTAAATTCCTTTCTGTTAGGAATTCACTTCATTCTGGTTCAAACCTCATTCTGATTCTTTGTTCACTCAAAATTGAACCATTAATTACTCATCTAGTTTGTAAAGCAACTGCACTATTGGTATGCTGCCAAATTTTGTAAGACAGCTGTTTAAAACTATTACTTTTCTTTAGGTTTTCATACACACACACACATACACAGATGAGACAGAGTCTTGCTCTGTTGCCCAAGCTGGAGTGCAGTGGTGCAATCATGGCTCACTGCAGCCTCGACCTCCTGGGCTCAAGTGATCCTCCTACCTCAGCCTCCCCAGTAGCTAGGACTACAGGCACATGCCACCACACAGGGTTAATTTTTGTATTTTTTTGTATAGATGGGGTTTTGCCATGTTGCCCAGGCTGGTCTTGAATTTCGGGGTTCAAGTGATCCTTCTGCCAATGTGCTGGGATTACAGGCATGAGGCACTGCTCCCAGCCTAGGTTTTCTTTTATATAGAACCAAAATGTGGTCCTTTTAAGGTCTGTATGAATCATGAATCAGAATAAAGTGAAAAAGAAAATTTAATACCCTATTCAATAAATATAATTAAAATGTATTATCCTGTGTATTTTGAATCTCGGCAATAATTATAGAATCCAAAGAAATAGTGAAAAATTTAAACAGTACTCAAGGCTTTATCCTAAAGTCAGATAATTAGTAGGAAGCATAGCTGATAAACTGTGCAAGGTCAGCGAAGAGCCTTGCAGTTGGTGTAAAGTCCAGCCTAGCTCTTCAGCTATTACTCAGAGTGGGACACCCATCTGGATGAAGAAAGCCAGTGGCACACCCTGATTCACTTAAAAATATATATACTACTTTTATGTGTAAAAGTGTATGAAGAGTGAAATACTACTGATTAAGTGGCACATACCGATTTCATTTTCACTTAAGAAGTATTAATGAAAAGCCCATGAATGTAACACAATACATTCCTAAACACTTGGATTTCCTGGTGACTGACTGTATCACTATATTCTCTTGTCTGCTTCCCTGTTCTTACCAGGCCCTCTCGTCTAAGATGAACTTTTATAGAGTCAAGCCCAGCAACAGTAAGAATAAGGCTGGGAAGCTAAGCAAGAGCCAGAGCATTGTGGGTTTCTTCCTACTTTGGAGATTTTGTGTTTTAAATTAATTTTAAAAGAACAGGGAACACAACAAAATCTAGAAAAATGCACTGAAAAATCTAGAGAAATGTGTTAGAAATGCACTTTAAAAGGAGGGCTCACTAAAACTAATGAAAAGCAGGGCCGGGGTGCCTGTCTCTGCTAGAAGAGTCAGGAAAGGCTTCACAAAGGTGACCCCAGTTTTAGAACCAGAGGTACAGAGACAAATTCTAAAGTTTCCGCAGAATATAGAAGGCTGAAGTTGATCTTCCCACGGGAGGCAGACACAAAATCCTCCTCCCAGGGCAGGCTACAAGGACGTGCAATTGTGCACTCATAAGGGTTACATGCTAAGGAGCGCCCCGTACTCAGAAGGAAAGGCCTGGCACTTGCTTTTATGCTATGCCTGAGCTAGCATTATCCTCTTTCTCTGCTGACATCCAGTCAGAGGGCTACTAACTCTTCCTTCTAAATGTTCTTCTAACTGTCCTCTTCTCCACTTAAAACTACTTCTCACTGACTCCAACTTAAGCAGTAGCCTCCTAATGGGCCTTGTGTTTACCCTCAAACTACTTTATAAGATAACTGGTCTTTCTAAATGGCATGTCTGATTCTGCATAAAATCATTTCCCTTTGTAATTGATAATCCAATGATGTCAGCATTAGTAAATAATGACTGACTTCAGCAAGGCATAGTGGGTGTATTATTTTGTTGGCTCAACACCTGTACTTCTTTCAGGCACGCCATTCCGCTTCTTCTGGTAACCCAATCCCACCCTTTACGAGAATGTCCTTCCCATGCAAGCTGGCACCTGAACCTAGCTGGGCAAATCAGAGCCCAGCCCTGGGATTTTGTTAGGATGGCGGAGGCTGCAACATGTCAAAACCCAGAAGCTGTCAGAATCCATGATTCCTGCCAAGTGTGGAAAGCTGTCAATGCCAACAGTCAGAAATAAGAAATGGAGAGTCCTAGCAGTTTGGGTTCCTGGTTCTAGCTTCTTGAGACCCACCTGGCATCTCTAATTTTCTATTTAACTCTGGTTTTTCTGAGACAATAAATTCCTCCTTTTGCTTAAGTTAATAAAGCTAGGTTTCTTGCTGGTACACATAATATGGCAATTCATTATTTGGTTCGTACTTCTCCACCTAACCTATCTCCCCTTGTAAGCTCTCACACACAGTTTACAATAAAACGCTTAATATTCCACGAATTCAACATGCTATCACACCTCTGCACCTCAGTCTCTGCACCTCTGGTTCCAACACTGGGGTCACCTTTGTTAAGTCTTTGCTGACTTCCCTAAAAGAGACAAGCACCCCAGCTTGCTTTCCTTTAGTCTGTGCCTAAGTGCAAGCTCTTACGGCAAAGTACTGCAGCTGCCCTTGTGGATGACTGACTTGAGCCTGGCAGAGCAGTTAAGAACTTGGACTCTGGAGCCAAACTGAGCAGCTCCCCACTGAGTGGCTATGACCTCTCTGCCAGTTGGGCAGGCCTCTCCGCAACTCAATTTCTCATTCATAGAGAGATAAATAACGCCTACTCTAGAAGATTGTTGTGAACACAGAACCAAAACGTGGACGTTTCAAAGTCCGTATAAATCATAAATCATAATATAATAAAAAAGAAAACTTAATTGAAAAGGTTTACTGATCTCTCTGGAGCTCGTAATCACAATTACTCTGCACTTCAGAAAAGCCATCCTCAACATTTGTTTCCTAGCAAATGTCAATAAGCAGGTGGAAATAAAATGCTCCGAAGAACAAACCCAGACGAAGAGACCTATTGCCAAATCTGCAAGTGAGTGCCGGCAATCCACCACTTACAGACTGAGAGTGGCCACTTCTCAGCTGCCAATTACTCCTCAGCTGGCGACAGAATGCATACTCTCCTACCCTAAGCACTTTGAGTTTCCCCCGTCAGAAGTATTTAAGCCACGAACTGAGACCACGATGTCACATGCTGATCAGGACATTCACAGTCATGCGTCACAACGATGGAGATCCGTTCTGAGAAATGGAGAAATGTCCCCTTAGGCAATTTCTTCGGGCAGCAGCGCACTGACACAAACCCAGATGACCCAGCCTACTGCTCTAGGGCATGAACCTGTACAGCCAGTCACTGCACTGAACACTGCAGACAACCGTAGCATACTAGTGAGTATCTGCGTATCTAACCATAAAAAAAGTACAGTAAGAAAACGATATTATAATCTTATGAGACCACGCTGGCCCACATTAACCGGCAACATCCTTCTGCAGCGCACAATCATATTTAAAAGTGGATTACAAGAGTCAGAAAAACAAGCGGCGTGATTTGTTGTGGCGGCAACCAGGCAACTGACGAGTGCAAACCACTGGGCCCCAGTGTCGCGACCCAACCTCGCGTCCCCGTCGCCCGCTCGGGGCCCGACGCAGGGGTCCCGAAAAAGGCCGACCACGGAGAAGCGGGGCGGGGCTTCTCGGCTGGGGCGGATCCCGCCCTCCCTCTTGGCCCACCCGGCCGCAGCCCTGCCGCGAGCGACGGTACCTGAGGACGGCCCCAGATCCGCGGTGCCCATCTCAGCCCTGCTCACACTCTGCATGACAAGGGGCAGAAGAAAGAGGAGAGCCATGCTGCTACCGACGGACGCCGGCTCCTACCCAGAGCTACTGCGGGCCGGGCCCGGCGCGGCCCTCCAGCCTCCGCCTTGCGTCACTTCCGTCACCGGGGTCTGTGTCGGCTGCGGCAGGAGGCGGGACCAGGGCGGGGGCGGGGCCAAATCCGGGAAGCCGCAGGAGGCCGACTCAGGAGGCGGACTCAGGCGCCACACCCCGCCGTGAGCAGGGCGCCCTGCGGTCGGGACCTGGGTTTCTCGGTGTGGGAGGAACTTGAGTGCAAAGGTTAAGGTCTTTCGGCCTGGCACCCCATTCCGCAATTCTTCTTCCAGTTTTTTTCAGTATCCTGGGGTTGCGAAAGTTTGCATTAGGCCACAGCCGAGCCACAATCCTTATTTTACCAACTCTTAGACTTCACCTGGGTGTCTTGGAGCCTGACATTTTTAGAAAAGAAAGAGACTTCAAAAGCCATTTCCAGTCCCTGCTTTTTCATTTGGGAAACCTAAGACTTAGCTAGTGAAGTGGTTTGTGCAGGTTCCTACAGTCCAAATCAAATCGGCTTGGCCAAGAACTACTTTGTTCTTGGAGAAAAAAACTATTTGCATTACCTTCTCAGCAATTCAGTGTCAAATCAGTTTATTAGGCAGCCTCTCATGAAGAGGTCTGCTCTCTTACCTCTCTGGGTTTGTCTATTTTGCATCTCTCCCATTCCACTGCAGTCACGTTGCTAAATCATTCAGCGCTTGTGCTCAAACATGCATATGTCTAGTGATCTCACCTGCTTCAATTCTGAGTATCATGACCTTTTGTGAAAATTTTAAATTGCGACACACCCTCTCCTCCTCCTTACATCCCCTCTACTGTTTCTTCATGGCACTTTTCACCTTGCTGTACACTATAATGTACACCTTGATATTTGTTTTCTCCTGAAATGTAAGCTCCGTAGAGCTGACATCTTTACTTGGCACTCAATTAATATTTGTTGAGTGAAAGAGTGCATGATTACTAGTGTTAAGGAAAATTTTTAAAGACGGAAAATCCTTAAGGGATTATCAGCCTGATCATTTTACTTGTATTAATAAATCCCTTAGCTCAGTACTTCTCAAACTTCAACGTACGTGTGAACCTTCTGCGGATCTTGATAAAATGCAGATTTAGATTCAGTAGTTCCAATTCAGGTTGGGTCTTGAGATTTTGTATTTCGGACAAAATACACCGGGGATGCCAGTGCCCCTTTCAATAGGACCACAGTTTGAATCAGAAGAATTTAGCTCAATCTAGACTAAGTTTAGGGAGAATATTTTCTTTGATGTGTTTCTGATGTCCACTATATGAAAGACACCTTCTAGTCGTTGTAAGGATGCAAGGATAAATAACTGATCTTTACTGTTTAGGCGTTTATGGAGTAGAACAAAATATGGTATCCAGCTTGTAAACATTTTTGTAGTACTCGTCACACACTGGGTTACCCTGGCAGTAAACTCTGAGGTCGAGATTAAGGTATAAGACATTGATTAGGGAGTGCTCTTGGAATAAACCTCTGTGAAGGGGAGGTGGAGGAAGCAGAGCCTAGGAAGAAGTTGATCTGTGATGCCATCCCAATAAAGACTCCCAAGGGGCTCTCTGGAGTTGGGATGGCCTTGTAAAGGTGTGCTGAGTTGGTATGAGGGGCTGGGCCTTAAAGCCCAACACTGATTAGTCATTGAATACCAACTGTCCCTGAAATGGCACATGATTTGGGGTCTGTCCATTTCTTTCATGGAGGCATTCCCCAAAGGAAGGCTGACGGCTGAGTGTGTCTACTAGCAGCACCCCTAGCATCAGGAAGGGGACAGAACTGAGTCGTCTGTTCCTGAGAGGGATCTGGGCAAGTTTCACAATCACAGCACCCACCACCCTACCTATCCTTCTGAAGACTGTGTTAGTTAGTCATTTGGAGACTAAATGTATTTATTAATTGGGTGAATATTATCAAGTGATACTGTGTGTGACCGACGTGGTGAAACACTGAGATAAAGACCTGAGCAAGACAGACATGGCGCCTGCCCTCATGGAGCTTACTGCCTACTGAGGGAGATAGCTGTTAAACAAGGAATTGCACAAGTACTGAAATCATGATCATCATTCCCAAGGAGAGCAATGGGAAGAGATTAAAGGAGCATAACCAAGAATTTAACTTAGTCTACATTTTAAGGAAATTCTTTTTCTTTCTTTTGAGACAGGGTCTCACTCGGTCACCTAGGCTGCAGTGCAGAGGCATGATCATAGCTTACTGCAGCCTCAAACTCCTGGGCTCAAATGATCCTCTTGCCTCAGCCTCCCAAATAGCTGAGACTACAGGTGTACACCACCACACCTGGCTAATTTTTTTTTTTTTTTTTTGAGACAGAGTCTGGCTGTATCGCCTAGGCTGGGGTACAGTGGCACAATCTAAGCTGACTGCAACCTCCACCTCTCTGGCTCAAGCCATCCTTCTACCTCAGCCTCCCAAATAGCTGAGACCATAGGGGTTTTTTTGGGGTGTTTTGTAGAGATGGAGTTTCACCATGTTGCCCAGGCTGATCTCAAACTCCTGAGCTCAAACAATCCACCCACCTTGACCTCCCAAAGTGCTGGGATTACAGGCATGAGCCACGTTGCCTGACCTTATTCTGGCTAGTTTTTAAATTTTTTATAGAGCTGGGGTCTTGCTGTGTTGCTCAGGCTGGTCTCAAACTCCTGGGCTCAAATGATTCTCCTGCCTCAGGCTCCCAAAATGCTGGGATTACAGGTGTGAGCCACTGTGTCTGGATTTAGGGAAATTCTTTTTTAAGGAAGTTTTCATTTTGTTATGACCTGAAGGATAAGGTAAAATTAGCCTGAATAAAGTTAAAAGATGGAGATGACCACAGACTAATAAGAGAGGTAGGAAGAAGAGCAATAAACTGTATTTTTGAATCCAATATAAAAATCTCATACAGCTAACACAGACACAAATGAGCGGCGCCAGCTTTCCTTGATAAATTTCCAGTGCCTAATGGCTGGGGAATATCCAAGTATACGTTGGTCCCCGCTAGAGCCTCAGATTAGTTTTTAAAATGAAGAAAATAAACTGGGGAGGAGCTTAGATCATTCTAAAGCCAAGCGTATACTGAAGTGCTGCTCAGGAGCAAGGCTACATTTTGAAGACCACATTCACATGCCTTTCAAGTTCACAGGCCAAAGAAAACAATTTAAGAAGCTAGAAATATGATCTAATGAGAACAGAGCCTGTGTGTGCAGCACAAACTGTGCATTTTGGTTCTGAGCACAGTGCATTTCCTTCCTCTTTTCTCCAAAGGAGAAATGTCTGCCAGCTTCCCTTTAAAGGAGACAGCATGAAAGTTTGTAGCTGTAGCATGTAGTTCTAAATTCCCCTAATTCATCTGTAAATTATAGACAATACTCTTGCCCTCTCACATTCTACCCATGCCTTTACACTGTCCCTTAGTTAACTTTGTTTATTCCATAGTACTTATTATTATCTGGAGATTCTACTGGAAATTTAATATATCTATTAAATTTGAATTAAATATGAATACATTGTATATGTTAAATGTATGCATATATATATTTCACAAATAATTACTGAAATTGTAGTAATTGTTACCAAGGAGAGTAACAGGATTATAGGTGCATAAACAGGGACTTAATCTGAGATTTAAGGAAATGCCTCCGTGTGCATGTGTGTGTGCATACGTAAATATATGTATATACACACATAGAAAATTTTGTTTCAGTAGTCTCTCTCTTTCTCTAAAAAATAAATTTGTTTTCTTCACTGTCAGATCCCAAGCACCTAGCCAAGTGCCTATTACTCCATTAATATTTGTGGAACATTGATGATCCTGAATCATCGGTAGTATGGTTATGATTATAATCCTGAATCATCAATGTCAGCATTGAGCAGCTGAACCAATGTCTGTGGCCACTTATTAAATAAATATATGATGAACAAAACAAGCTTGTAAAGAGGTGTGGGACTGAAGCAGGGATAGTTGAATTTATGGCTGGCTAAGCTATAATTGGGTCACTGATAAGAATTTAGAGAGACATTTGGATATCATATGGGTACTCAACTAAGCACTATCCTCTTGCCTTGCGCTCAACCCTCTTCTTAGCTCTCATACTGACATCCGATTGTATCAGACCAACCCCTGGCTTGACGATGGTTATCCATAGACAATCAACAATTCTAGTAGATGGCTTGTCTTAGAGCACTGCCTAGGGTAGATGCCACATGCTGTGTGGTGACTGGCAGATACCACTCATTAGCTGACTGCTAACAGCTCTTCTCAGTCCCCTTCTACCTTGCTGCCTCCCTACTGTAGAGGCTAGACAGGCTGATTACTCCCTTTCCCAACCTTTGTGGTTGCTAAGTGTAGGGATATGACATAGTTTTGGTCAGCAAAACACAAGCAGAAGTCTGTGAGGTATGTGTATGTGTGGTGGGCGTTGGGGGTATAATGAGGGAGAGGATTGCAAAGCATTCTGTGAGAACTTTTCCTTTCTCATAGAAGGGGCAGATGCAATGGGAGAGTTTGCTGGCCTTGGCCCTTTTCCAATCTTCTTGCCTTGCATGTAGATCCAGTAATGCTGGATCTTGGCATTTTGCAACCATGAGGCAACAAGATTGAAGATGAAAAGTCAACAGCTACCAGTGAAGAACAGGAAGATGGAAAGCCTGAATCATCGTCAGCATTGAGCTTCTGAACTAATGTCTGTGACCACCTGCCTTTGGCTTATTATGGGAGAAAAAAATAAACCCCTATTGCTTTAAGTCACCATCAGTTCAATTTTCTGTTAATCGTGCAGTTTTTTTTTTTTTGTTTTTTTTTTTTGTTTTTTTTTTTTTAAACTCAGTGTCAGGCCAACCTAAATAGATTCGCTTTCAGCGAGTTGGAATGTAAACCGTGATGGAGAAGAGGATGACTGAGTGGAAGGAGAAAGGAGAAAAGAAGAAACAACAAACTCAAGTACAGGATGTAGAAGACTAGAATAGTAAGCAAAGAAGATTACTTGTCGAGGGGAGAACAAGAGGCCCAGCAACCAGAGACTTAGCAGAACCACCATGTGCCCCGAACAGTGCTCCCTCACTGTGCTGCCTGGGCACTAGCTCACTGGTGAGGCTTTCCTCTTCCGACATTCCCACACATCTTTACAAACATCCCTTGTCACTAAAGGTAACCTAAAGTCTCTGTTCCTTGCAACTGAAAGAGCGCAATGGAACAGGTGTGGTGGCTCACGCCTGTAATCCCAGCACTTTGGGAGGCTGAAGTGGGTGGATCACGAGGTCAGGAGTTCGAGACCAGCCTGGCTAACATGGTGAAACCCCGTCGCTACAAAAATACAAAAATTAGCTTGGTGTGGTGGTGCACGCCTGTGGTCCCAGCTACTTGGGAGACTGAGGCAGGAGAATGGCTTGAACTTGGGAGGCGGAGGTTACAGTGAGCTGAGATTGTGCCATTGCACTCCAGCCTGGGTGACAGAGCAAGACTCCATCTTAAAAAAAAAAAAAAAAAAAAAAAAGCGCAATGTATTTCTAGCCATGAAATTTTTAGCCATTTCAGTATCATAAAGGGCAGTTACCCTATTCTTTTAGAAAACATTTCCCAATATCACACTAAATACCAGGCTGAAAAAACGGTTGCTAAAAAGAACTGAGTAATCTAAAGAAGCATGCAGTTTGTCCTCAGAGCCTCACACTTCCTCTTTCAGTGCATCTTCCCCTCCAGTCTCCGTACTTCCTCCACCACACACCAAAGCCCAGTGACTTCTTGCTGCTTCTCAGAAGCCCAGAGT